GATCAAAGCTCCTCGCCGATCTGCTCCACCGACACTTTACACGGCTTTGCAACCCTCCACCTTGCGGACTTAACTTTTAGGGAACGCGCGTGTAATACGAATCGCAGACGGAAAAAAGTCGAGCGGCGCCCCGCGTGGGGGACGGGGCGCGATTGGTAGCTGTGCGTGTGTGCTTATACTAATATTTAGTTAAATTAGCAAAAAGTTGTAGTGTTTGCGTATGAGCTCTTCCTTTTGAATTTCTCTTGACAAAAATTAAAAAAATGTTGGTAATGACCAGATATAGCGTTTTGAATTTAATTTTCAGTACTTACAATTTCTTTCCATATAACTGAAAAAGACAGAAGGAAACATGACACCTACATTTTTTATTATGTGACGTATGAAAGGCTAAAAATAGATATTCGTCAAAATCACCCTACTCCTATAATTATAATTCGAGAAATAAAAATAATTATAACAGACGAAGTACAGTTTTCTGATCAAATGAAATTTTTACTAAATGTAATAAAAACAAAATAAACTAATGAGATCGTTACTTTGATACTGTATAAGACTTGCACTGCAATTTTTCTTTTACAACTAGCGGTTTTGCTAACAGAACCATTAAATTAAATACCATTAAAAAACCAAAATTATTAAATAACTACTTTCTACTGGTCCCATACAGTAGCAACAACAACAAAGGAACAATAAAAACAGCTACCATGCACTAGGTTATACAGGGCGTCCCAATGATGCTGGAAGATTCGTCGTTTTTGAAAAAAATCTGCCACGTAGCGTGACAGATCTCATTTACAGCTCTAATTTCCAATCACTTCTTAAGGTGCAAGATGTCCTATGGGCTACACACCAAAATTTATTTTTTTTTTATATGCAAACTTCCTGTATACTTTTTCAAATTTTTTAGAATCTTTATAAAAAAGGAATAAAGCGATATATCAGATGTAAAGACAGTTTTCGAGACATTTAAATTTTGAGGGAACAAAATCGTCATCTATAAAAATTCACACTTCCACCATTTTCAAAGGTGAGAAAGAGAGTCATATATTTGTTTTAAAAATGTGACACCCTGTATTTTACACACTTTTAGAACTGGTCTTTAACTAAGATTTCCTTTGATACCTACCAGGTTTCTCAGGATTTTTCTTAATAATACTTACATACTTAGAAATAACTATGTTCAAAAATGTTGTAAAAAACAAGGCATTCCAAACAGTCGTTAATTTTTACTTCCCGAGCCTAAGCTAAGGAAGTATTGTAATCGAGTCCATTGGGGACTGGCTACATTTATGTTTTCTTGACGTTTCATGACCCCTAGAGTACGAAAACAGGTCTCTGGTTTCCTTCTGTCAGTTTGCCGTCTATCGTTTGTCCGCGTCTGTGTCGATTTTGATTAATAAACAGATAATCTCCGAAACTACTCCACCGATTGTTATAAAATTTTATATATAAGTTAGACATATCGTGTAGATGGTAAAACAACAACCAAAATTGGCTTAATCGTCTACATCACCAATGTGATGACATCCCCTCAAAATTTTTTAGTAAGTAGGATTTGAATTTCATAAAATAAGATACTCCTGTACTTGGTGTTTATGAATCTGTCTTCAGATTTTCCCAAAAAAATCGAATTTGTACACCAACCTTTTTATTAGTATAGCCGGAGTCCGTACAAGGTTTTTCGATACTTTATCACGTACTTACGTTGAAATGTGGCATGGGATTTTTTGTTTTTTTACACAGTTACTATTATTATCTATTATATTTTTTATTGATCAAATCTCAAGAACTGTACACCCTGGTATTTTATTATCGGTATTAAACTGCTCATATCGGAACACATACGTGTCCTTGCTGAAATAATGTTGATCAAAATATTTTTAAATGGGAAAACTCTCTAATACAGCTTTACTTTATAAATGTATTTATATTTTTGCAGGAACTTTTAATCCGTTCCTTATCATGGGTTCACTACAAGAACACTCCAAACCAAATATAAACAAGTGTGTTTTCGTAACATAATGCGTTGGAATCAATGATGGGGTATGGGTGACTAAAGTACGACACATTAAATATAGAGTGTCAAAACACATTTACAGGATGTAAATTAGCTTTTAGCTGGTTATTATTTATTTATATTTGTTTTAATGTACAAAGGCTATCTCAAATAAAAGTTTGCAAAATAAAACTTTTTGATTTTTCAAAGAAGCAGGAGGGAAGTCCTGTTCAAATAACTTTCGACCATTTTTTTCTTGTTTAATCTGTCTTGTTCTTTATCCGTAAAACGATCTTCCATTACAAACAAGAGGTCAAGGGATCAAAGCCAGTGCTGGCCCTCAGAATTTTTTATTGATCAAATCGAAAACGGTTCATTCTTTCTTCCAGAAAATTTGATAACACAGTACTCTTATTATTAGTACTACACTGCATTCACTGCAATTGATCGTTAGTCGTTACAAAATTTTGTTATGAAAAACTCACTTGAAACATAGGCATTCTTTACCTCTTGTTTGACAGCCCATACGTAGCTTTATTTAACTTATTCCCAAAATCAAATTTTATTTTTATATTGTTCGATTTTACTTCAGAGGCGAGAAAAGTTTTGCCCAAACAACCTTAGACCAGACATCAAATACCTTACTGAAATGCAAACGGTGACTTCCACATATAGCATTTTGAAAATTTTCAGTTTGAGTAGGAAAATATCCGTTTTGCTTAAGAGAGAAGAATTAATTTTTATTAAAAAAATATAAACTCCTAGATTTTATTATTTATTTATTAAAATAAAACCCAACTTCCGTTCTTCAGAGGCAGTAAGAATGAATGATCAAAACGGAATAGCGGAAGGTGGGCGGGGTCAATTTTTACTTTGTTTTAAATCTCAGATTCTACGGCTGGTCAAAATAGAATTCAATTCCCATTTTACAATAAATAAAACAAGTCAGCGAAATAGAAAAAAGAGGTGATTGGAGCTGAGTTTACATTCATTCTAATGAGTCTTATAAGCAAGTACTAGCCCCGCCCACCCGCCCTCTATTTTCTTAAAGAATAAATCATTTGCCAAAATTAGTCTTACCTTACCAAGAATAAGGCCCGCCCACCCGCCCTCTATTTTCTTAGAGGGTACGTCATTTCGCTAAAATCAGTCTTATCTTGGCAAGTTATAACAAAAAATGAAAAACTGAAAAATTGCAAATCTAAAGAATGAAACATTTTTTCGAAAAACGAAATTAAAATTTAATAAAAATTAATTTTTATTAAAACAAAATGTACTCCTAGATTTCGTTATTCGTTAATATAAAATTCCGTTCTTCAGAGCCAATAAGAATAAATGATCAAAACGGAATAGCGGTATGTGGGTGAGGCCAATTTTTTCTTCGTTTTAAATCTTATTAGAGTCTAGCAATTGTCAAAATAGAATCCAATTCCTATTTTACAGTAAATAAAATGAATGAGTGATGTTAGCTTTTTTCTAAGATTCTTATAAGCGAGCACCTACTCTCTCTTCATGCACTAGCCCCGCCCACCCACCCTCTATTTTCTTAGAGGATATCTGATTTGCCAAAATTAGTTTTATCTTAGCATGTACTAGGCCCGCACATCCACGCTCTCTTTTTTTAGAGGGCATGTCATTCGCTAAAATCAGTCTTATCTTATCTTAGCAAGTCTAACAAAAAACGAAAAATTGAAAAATTGCAAATCTAAAAATTGAAACATTTTTCGAAAAAAAAATTAAAATTTAGTAGAAATTAATTTGAATTTAAACAAATGTCTCCTAGATTCTATTATTTATCAGTATAATATCCAACTTCCGTTCTTCGGAGCCAGTAAAAATGAATGATCAAAAAGGAATAGGAGTAGGTGGGTGGGGCCACTTTTTACTTTATTTTAAGTCTTAGTTTCCAGCACTGGTCAAAATAGAATTCAGTTACCGTTTTACAATAAGAAAATGGGTCAGTGAAATAGAAAAAAGAGGCAGGCGGGGCTTAGTTTAGCTTTTTCCTAAAGAGTCTTCTTATGAGTAAGCAGTAGCCCCGCCCACCTACCCCCTCTTCATTCCAGTGACTACTCTTCATATTGTTCAGTTTTATCTTAGCGAGTACTAGCCCCGCCCACCCTTCCTCTATTCTTAAAGAGCATGTCATTTGTCAAAATTAGCTTCATCTTGGCAAGTACTGCAGACCTTCCCCTAAATTTGGCCTTCTTTAATTTTAATTTGATGTAGCAACTTCGGAACACATTTTGTAAATTAAATACGGTAGTATTACTTAAGAGTAAGAAAAAGCTGTATGCAAACTGTATAGTAAATTGCTAATGAAAGTTGCTAAATATAAAAAAAAGCTTTGAGTTCACTGATCACTGTTCACCATGTCATAACCAGAGCTATAGATATTATTTAAAATCTAGAATCCAGCGAAGTGTGGAAGAATAACGCTTTTTCTTTTAGTAATACATTAAAAAATTCCTTACGTCGATTCGGCGTTCACCTACAGAAACAAAATATAAATTTAGATAGGTAGATTAAAAAATGTGGGAAATTAGTCCCTCCTGGCAAAATTAATTTTGAACAATTTTAAAGCTTTTTATAAAGTTATAAAATAAAGGAAACTATGAATAAAGATTTAATATCTCTAAAATTATTTTAAATAATAAGTCCCATGGATTTCATGTACCCCACAGGAAGTAGAATTTTTTCTTTACTCAAGAAGCAGTCCTTAACATCTATCATAGAGTTTGTGAATGTGTCTATATTTCTATTTGTGCGAATCCAAGACTTACTTACCACACACATACCAATACCTTTATATATCATATATCTTTATTGTAATAATAACACCGTTCAGTTAACTATTAGAAGCCAGACTGTATCTAATTATTTAACAGTCGTACAATTAAAGATAATAACCATTAAAAATGTTAAAATATATTTCAAATTTGTATTGTTACTATTTACAGTACAGCTACAAAATAGTAATATTTTACACTCTAATCAGCAACTATGAGTGATTTCAGATCATCATTATTATTACTATGATGAGAAAAGTAAAAAGTAAAAAGTGACATAATTTTTGGATTTAAATTGCTCAAGAACATAATTGACTGCACTGAATTGGTCAATTTATTTCAGTTTCTAGTTCCAAGGTTAGCTAGTCGTTGTACTGAAACTTTTGTGTTAAACTTTCATAAGACAAGCTATGGTACTTACTGTTGTATAATCGACAATATCTCTCGAGCAATTAACTCTCTCGAAGTAAAAACAGATGTTATGCAGTTATCTTTACGTTCTTTGGTTAGAGAATTAAGAAATTAATAATTAACAAAAATAAGTATTGTTTTCATTTTGATCTTAAATATATTAGGAATAGTTTTTCTTTTCTCAAATTGTCACAATTGGATGTATTCTGTTCGACAATAAATATTATTATTATTATTATTATTATAACAATCGTCGAATTCCTGATCGCATCCACAACATTTCCCTATTATTATAATAACTATTACTACACCAATACATGTGTATCCAAAATATTTTTCCCATAAATTAACAATAAACTTGTCACGTGTTTTGTGGTCAGCATGAAACCAAAGCTAAAAGAGAAGAAACACGATTTATTTTTTTTTTAAATCATACGGACAGAAAATTTGAATAGCAGTGGTAATGAAAAAATACTTACATAAACACAAAAAATCACTATCGACGCAATACCTATAACTCTTTTAGCTACCATAATTTTATTCCGGCGTTCAGTATTATTTAATTTAAATAGAACCACGCACTCTTACAATACAACAATCATAAAGAGCGCACAATCCTAACTAAAAATTTTCTCACATAGACAAGTGACAGAATAGCTATCTTAAAAATGATAACAAAAAAAGATAAAAACAGTAGACGACTTTTTTTGATATCAAAAAATTTTACCGATAACTGAGTAGAAAAACAATGATTTATTACTTTTAATATAAAATTATGAGTTCAGACTTAGAACCGAGTTGGTGGAGACAAATTTAAGTTTTAATGTAATTTAAAATAAGCATTTTTGAACTGTTACAAAAAGGCGGATTATTTCCAAAACAAATGTGTAAACCTTCCATTTTTTGTGTTTAGTATTTATTATACAAAGTATTTGTTTTAAGACACATTTCTCCAAATAAATAGAAACAGCATTCATTCGAAATTAATTTCGAACTTAGCGAATGTAAATGGAGAAAACATTACCTTGGGGTATTAAACAAGCTTAATTAACTTCGCAGCAAAGCTCAAAAAATATTCTGCTGAATGGTAAATGTCCATTAGCGAATATAAAATTAAATTAATTCCTTTGGTAAATTTCGAACACGCCGAAGAAAAAACGACGCATTCACATTAAAATTAATTTGATTTAGTCATTGTATCGCGCCTTTTCATTGTGACACACGAACAATGGGAGCTTTAAACGTCACTCACTAACTTAATAAAAATGATGACATCCCTGACGCACCGGTACAAACTCCATCTTTGACTTCTCACGTTTTGCTTTGTTATTAGAATAAAAATCATCCACGGTGAAGTGTCAAATTTAATTAGCGAGCTTTAAAAAAGTATAATCAGCAAATTGGACTCTCCTAAAGCTTGTAGGGAAAAAGCAACAATATGTGCCGATGTTGGAGCTCACTCTAGGGATGCTCGAATTTAATTAACAACACCAACATATCGCCGGTTCGTGTTCGTCAGGTATCCACGGTCTAAAACGTCCAGATATTGCCGCAGGAACACTTCAATAACAAAAAATTTTAATTAAAACGTTCCTTCGTTGTTGTCGAAATTCTGTAAGCGTTCCTCTAATCAGTTTTTATTAAATTAGATAGAGCTCTCGCTACCGAAGCGAGTGAAAACAAATCCGTTCAATTACGGGTGTTTTTATTCAAAAGTTTGTGTTTTCTTACGGAATGTTACAACAATCGCAGTAAAACAAATACAGAACTGCTTTCCCAACATGCACACTCTTGTCGGGATTTTTATATAAATTTGTCAAAATTTGTTTGAATTCAGCATTTTAAGCTTCTCGTGTGCAAGCACTTATCTTAACTCAGGTGTTTAATTATTAAAGACGTATGAATTTGGGGAAAGTGCTGACAAAATATGTAAAATCGTCTGCTGAATTATGCATAGTCCACATACTAGGAAAATGATTCCGGCGAATCAAAATTTATAATTTCAGAATATCAGACGAAGATTCCGTTCCACCTGGCGTAAAAGAGAATATTTTAAGCTAATCTCATAATTTCATTTTAATTTTCGCATCTTTGGCCCCGCCGACACCCACTTGTTCTCGACGTATTTCCTGTTTCAAAATTTATTTTTATATCAAAAGGGAGTTTGTTTTGCCTGATGAATATTCACTTTGAAGACCCATAATGTAATGCTCCTGAATTCAGTCGTTTGATATGTAGAGCTTCTTTGACGATGAAAAATAAATATTTTACTTTTATTTCTTTTTGCAGTCCGGGCGTTACCAAGGCGGGATTTTATGGAAATTTTCTTTTAATTTCGACATGAATGTTTCACGAGGCGCCGAGAAAAAAGTGCTCGCGAATAAAATTCCCAAAGTAAATTAGATGCTACACTTACTCACATTACGACGAATTTACATTTCATACATCCGAACCGGTCTTTGCAGGCAGCTTCTTTATCGACCTCTTAATTAATCATCGACGCAATTAAGACGTCAGCGGAGCTTTTCGACCCACCGAAAAGCTTCCATCAAGCATTAAAAACTTTTATTACACAATGTGATCTCGAACAAAATAATCACTTATTGCAGCCTGTTCTCAGGTCCGGTTAATTAACAAGTTTAAACAAGAGAAAGGGGTATCGGACCGAACACAAAGGACAAACTTTCAATTTGCAAGATGCAAATCGAATACGAGTTCCAAAACGATGAAGCAGATTAAAAGTGCTTCATTACTTGGACCAAATTCATTAGCGTGATATAAATTAAGTTTCTGATTCTTAATTGAAACAAGAAGCTCACGAATTAAAAATGCGAGCTTTTGAAAAGACCGGGGGCTTTTTTATTTAACCGAATCACTGAATAAAAGCATTTTCTTAATTGTATCTTGGTGCCGACAGGAATTCGATTGGATATGCGCCATTTCACCCAAAATTGTAAGATTATTGTCGAACGAAACTAAATTTTATCAATGCACCGGGATCACATTAGTCACCAAAAGATATCAAACGTTGCTAATCTCTGAGTACTATCAGGTCTTGTAGGTGCATTGTCAGATAAGGAATATTGTAACAATATTATCAACAGTAAATTCTAATAAAAAGAAAAATATTAATTGCGAAATAACACCTGAAATAGATTATTTTACCCTTATCTACCGGCTTTTGAAAATATTTTAAGTAAAGGTGTGACGACGCGCAGATAAGCTAACGGGAATTACATAAATCTGTTTTAAATTTTTAATAAACTTTTAACGAACTATGATAACTGTATTCATAACTTGCTCCGATATATAGGATGTTTCACGGCAATTGAACGATTAAATGCACTCAAAGCGACTAAATATGTGGAAGATAAAATGTCATACAAAAATAAAAAAAAAGTATATTTAAATAGATTACAGGACTTGCAGTCAGGTGGTCTCCATGGTATAATTTATTTCATATACCGATATTTGTTTTTTAATTGTATTTTATGGTTATATTTAACTGGCACATCCTGTACAAAAATACTTCTTGTAGCTAGAATCTCAAGAAACATGAAGCATAATGGAAGTAGTTAATTAATTACTTAATATGTGTGAAATATTATCTTTGTGATTTAGCACCCACAGATTCATGGAAAAAAATGTGGGCAAAATGAAGAAATCAAGTAGACTCGTATTACCTATTGTTAGATTTAATTTAATATTTTGAGGTTCATTCTAACTACCTTTGCATTCTTTTCTTTTCGACAATTTGCGTAGGAAAATGAGATCATATTTTGGTAGAATATTTTTAAAACAAGCCATTGTTTACAAAAACTTGTTTTGAATCGTTATCAGTAAATAAATTTCCTATTGTTTTCACTGTATAAAAGAGGCTTACTTTCTCAAATTTCAGTACATGTTTTTCTGTTCTACTAGTGTTTTTAATATTACAAGGAAATCAAAATGGTGCAGCAAACTTTTTATCTTATCGTTCTGTTAATGCTTTTGGTATTCGTAAGTATTGATTTTGTTCAGCTACTATTAGATTCACGTACATAATTAGGCATGAGTTCATGTTAACAAAATGACTGCAAATTTTGTTGAAACGGGAGAATAACCAGTGATATTTTTCTTGCAGAGTCATGGTCAACCATTAGATAACTTTGATGGTGAAACCCTTTGGAGGACTGCTAGAAGTTTGGCAGAAATAACGAAACAGGCTGTTAACGTGTTTAGAAGTCTCATGGCTGACTGAGATAAAAGATACATTGCTAAATAACCAAATATATTTAAAAAAGTTTAGTTAATAAAATACTAAATAATTTTAGTTCTTTTAATAAATATAACAGACTTAACCTCATAATGAAGGTAATGTTTCGAGAAACCGCACCTCACTCAGGATGGTTAAAATTTAGTTTTACTTATTGTGTGAATGATTCCGACTCAACTGGAATGGATTTGACTAGACTCATATTCTCTCATTGACTGAACTCGACTCTACTCCTCCTGACAGTGGTCTCTATTTAAACAGTCGTACGCTTCTTCTGGAAAGATCGCGAACGTCGCCTTCGAGGTAGTTCTGGAGTCCACCATCGAGATAATTCCCGCGACTTTTCTTTATTCGAGCGCCGCCATCACCGATGATGACTAATGATGAGTCACCACCGCTCATCGCCGTATATATTAGAAAACCCATAGGTGTCGTACCGGGGCGGCGTATGGGTGTACTTCGTAACAATATTAATTCATTTTGCGATATGTTGAATGCAGCTGTTGTTTTCCGCGTCTGATTTGGATTGCTTGAAGGATCACGTGTTTAATTTTAAACAAAACGTGAGATTAAGTTTTCGGTTCCTACCATATTTTTCAAAAAGTAAATTTTACAAAACACCATCAAACACAAAACGTGGGCAGTACCATACGAAATCATTAAAGACTATAAAATAGATCCCGTTAGTTTCATCCATGTTCACATGAAATATACCCGATCGATATTACGTTGTAATTCAAAACTGGCACCATTACCACAGACATTGCAACTGCAAACCGCAAAAAACGCATCCTTTCTTCGACAAATTGATCGCAACTGCACCGATAAAGTAGAACGCGTCCAAAGGATGCGCAATTACTCTGTAACAAGATATAAATTTCATGAAGGATGTCGGTCCTTGTTGATTCTGCACTTTGCGAACATTTATGGAAGCGTGAAGCACCTCTCGAGTGGACAAGGGACAGCAGTTGCGATCATACCGTTGCTGTGACAATGATATATGGCTTCATATAATCCCCGGCAAGGAGGGACTCGACTCAAACGCGGTTGCTGTCTAGCCGGCATTAAGCTGGACATCAGAGCGACCTTTAGGGCTTTAATGCTGACACTTTCAAATATTTTATTTATAATCCCATCAACTCAACGTTGTGTCGTTTGAAATTCCAAAAACGTGCTTTTCACCTACACTGCGGCCCCAGGAAATTACCTCGTTTTGTTTCTTCAATCCCCCTCTTCGTGCTGGACCGAAATAAAGCAATCCTTTCCGGGGAGACCCGGAAAAAAAGACACATTACGGTACGAGCAAAACTGCGATACACATTCTGCGCTTGATGGGGTTTCGATGTTGCTGCAGATACCAACCTGGGAATATTAAAAAAAGGGAGAAAAAGGGAATGTGAGTGCACATTTCGTTGGGGAAACACAGGGGACGGTAGCTGCCAACTACGCTAATTGGATCAACGACTATTGAACTTTTTTAGTGAAAATTGAAACTCGTTACTAACACAAGAATATTATTAACGATAAAAGTTATCACGGGTGGTGTTTTAACACAACTGTTGCCTTTTTCATTATCCTTTTGGTTTATTACTCTTCTAAAGACTTGCAGTTTCTCATTCCACAGATTGTCAGGTCATTGAGAGAATGCAACTAAAACAATTTTCAGTCTTACCAGACAATCAATTGTTATATCTGCGTTTACTGTCCAAGTGTCGAAACAAAAAGGTCCAAACCAAAAAGCGAACACGTTTCGGTGACCAGACCGTCGAGGGCACCCTCGTTCACCGCCAACAAGTCCCCATAAATTACACTCTTTCGCGGTTTCCAGCAACTTGGAACAATTTTAAAATTTGTCCCATTTCACGTAAAGTCATAATTAACCCTCAGCCGGCATCCAGCTTGTCCCCGTGTCCCGGGCTGCGAAAAGGGTAGCGAAACATCTCTTCGACGAGTTATCTTTTCCTCGCATTTATATTTCACGACTGTCCGCATGATGGTGCATGCTTGAAGAAGGGTTGCTACTCCTCGATAATAAACAACGCTTGTGGGACAAAACTCTCAATTTCCGCCGTATTTTTAGCACGGCTGGCACACAGCCAATCTGCATTTAATGAATAAAGAACGGACTGGCCGACATGGCAACAATTATTAATAAGATTTACGGTTTGCTCCATTTAACGGCTAGTCATTTCCGGATTGTGCGACACGGGCGATAATCGATGATGTATAGAACGGGGGGATGCAAATCGCGACTACTTTGGCTTCCGGGGGACTCCTCACCTGCGACTTGAAAGCTATCTAGTTCCTGACTCAAAAAGATGATAACACTGACTTAAGTAATTACAGGGTTTGCTGTCATTTTTGAAAAATTGTTGCACAAAAAGCTACTTAATAATATAATGTTCACTAAATTATACTCCTACGAGATGTGAGAGGTATTGCCCTGAATATATGTAAATCTTGTTTATTTGAGAATAGTTTTAAGATTGATGATAGGTGATACAATTGAAAAAGTGATATCTTCTGGACGAATTTTCATTCTTCGGGTGCCTTAGGGTTCCATTCGGGAATTTTTGCTTTTCTACATAGATGTCAGCGGCCTTGCTCCAAAATTGGCCCCGAGCAATGTACGATTTGTTAAAAGGTAGGTATTATCCAAAATTAAAACAAACTTTCTTGCCGAATGGTCAATGTATACCAAAAACAATAGAGGATCAAGCACTTCGCCCTGTGGAACTCTAGAGGTGTGTTTAAATTAGAAAGTATTCTCTCATGAGATTTGAATACATACATAACTGTAAATCCTGATATAATAAAAATCTAAATAATTCGCATATGAGATATCATTGATCGTTTCCGAATTAATATTAATAAATAATCAATCCATAATGATAGAAGTATTGTCTCAATGCCGATCATTTTCGGGTCGATGGTGTAGTCAAAATGGTAAATAATCAGGGTTGGGCACTATTTGAACTACTTGTAATTGAAATACAGTATTTGAAATACAATTGTATTTTGTAATTTGTATTTCAAATACATGACACAAATGTATTTTGTATTTTGTATTTCAAATACATTTTAACTTGTATTTTTGTATTTTCAATTACTTGAAATACATTTTATCAAACTACTCATTACAACAGTTTTGCGATCGTGTATGTTCGTGTACTTCGAGAAGTAACAGGATATTCTATGGTTGTAACCAAGGTTAGTTAATAGAGAATATAAATCTATTAAATGACTTTGGGTTGTAACAGAGAACATAGAGAAGCGCCATAGTTTAAATTAAATGACGGTTGAGAACTTCGCAATTTATGTTGGCAGCAGTGTTTGGTTCTAACTAGGAATAAAATTAACTAGAAGAAATGTCACAATATTTTTAACGACGCGTTTTACTTTCGACAAATTGACACTAGATGGACATGGAATGTAACATACAGGGCCAACCAAAGACTTCAAATATATATAGACCGGCGATAAAACGAAAAAGCTGAAGCTAACCGGTCGCCATTTTGGATGTGACCGAAACCGCGGGAAGTTTAAAATCGTATACAATCGACTTCATATGAATAGTGAGTTTGCACACTATACACACACAAACTAATAAACTTCAACAACACTATAATTGCTGAATCTTAAATGCACGGAAACACGATCAAAAGAACCAAAGAAACTGTGATCACATCCACGTCACAACTGAAAGTGATACATAAAAAAGAAATAGGTTATGGGTATGGGTAGTTGCGGTGTTATTAGTGACAGAAAAGTAACAGCAATGGCGGCGATTTCTGTTGACAGAACTGCTTCACGAAATACAATAGAATTTAGGGTGACAGCCAGTCTATATATATTTGAAGTCTTTGGGGCCAACTTATAAAGATAGTGAAAGAATTCTGACAGTTAACTTTAAAATTTTTATGAACGAGCTTCTATCAAAATTTTATTTTTGCCACTGTTCTGAACATATTTTGTATTTTTAAAAGTATTTGAAATACTATTTTGTATTTTGTATTTCAACTACAAGACATAAATGTATTTTGTAATTTGTATTTCAAATACATTAAATTGAAGTATTTTGTATTTTGTATTTCAATTACAGTGGAAAGTGTATTTTGCCCAACCCTGTAAATAATAATATTAATAACAATAATAAAAAAGAGTAATGAAATGTATGATTTATTTCGGGGAAAGGGCGGCAGCACTAAAACCGGCCATATAAATAAATCACAAATTTACATAACTTTTTATACGGAGATCCCGACAGTATCAAAGCGATCATTGTAACGGCCCCAATCGCACATGGAGCTGTGTTAAAATATCGTTTGAGGTCCCGGGAGTCTGATATTTTTCTTGAGGGGACCCACATTGTTGGGAAGTTTGAGGTTCAATTTAGATTTGGGAGAAATGAGTCGTCTAATCGAAAAGTTGTTAGGCGTAGCCAATTTTCTGATGTGGAGGTAGAACGTCGATGTGAACGTAAATATTGCCGGTATGAAAACACGGTAAAAGCTCTGAAATATCGGATTTCCGTCATTTTATTACAGAAATACTAAAAGCCTCTTTATAGGTAGTCGTTCGAGTCTTGAATAACAACGTTCGAGATAATGTAACTGGCGAGTAGTTGATTTAAGTAAAAAACTCGAACAATCAAAGAAAAATGACTGCGACAACGCGAATTGTTCTCTTAAGACCTGATCGATTAAGAAATTTGAATGCAGAAGGCGCGTCGGCTCCTCGTAACTATTGATTCGTTTTATTGGTCTGTTTGAGCGGTTGATTCTATCTGAACATCTGCACTCAAATACATATTTCCTTCAAAAGATATTTCCTCGGCAAGTCATTATTCCGTACAGTTCACATCCCTAAATTTCCTTTTGCAGTATCCAATTTCGAGAATATCTCGATCCAGGTAACGTACAGACATTGAGAGACGGCGGTCTCTGTATATTGGCAGAACACACAACCTCCACCTCCGGCCCCCCGCATTCCCACCTTGTTAGGAGGTTTTCGCGAGTTCCTCCATATACCCACAGGTTGCTAAAGCCGCGCAA